GTATGTCATTTAGAAATTGAATATTATTTTGAGTCCTTTTAACATAATTATTTCTAAAAATCAACACGCCTTAAAGTTATTTTAACATAAACAAAAGTTAAAGTAAATCTTCAAATAATCGTAAACTTTGACATACAAAATAATCAAATTTACTACAATCAAATGTTCAAAACAACATTTCTCTTAAGTTGAAATAACTATCGTTTATTCAAATATGTTATATCGACATTTTTTACAAGTTATTTTTACATTATATTTAAAGTTAAAAGAACAAATATAAATGTAAAATATTGTGTCAATAAATTAACATTTCTAATTTGTCAACAAGTAACACACGATGAATGAGTTATTTTAACTCAAAATTTAGAGTGGACTTTCTGGGACATTTGAAAAATGTTACGATTAACATTTTATTTTTTACTGTGTATGACATTTTAATATTTTAAGGCAATTATTGGACAAATAATAATGCTTTTAAATGACGCAATTGGAAAGTATAATCGATTTTCCTAAAAGTAAATTACATAACACGCTTTAAATATTGAAAATATTGCTTTAATCGATAGTATATCTTGTGCTAAAATAATGTTTCTGTATTTTAATTCTTGCAAGTTACGATAATGTGATGTAGTCTTATAATTAAATCATAATGATGCCTTTACTGAAATAAATGTGACAATTATATCACATACATTGAAATATGTCTTTATTGTTAATTTTTATTTATAATAATTAGAAATTTTGATTTACTTGGGATTATTTATACATATCGTTAAATAATTCTCCTTTAATTTAAATAAAATGCTGAATGAAAAGTAGAACGATGCGTCTTTTCCGCGAGATCTTTCAACGACCGGAAACCGGATGCGGAGACGAGAAGCTTGAGACGAGGCGAAAGCTCGAAAGTACCGTCGACAGCCGCTAATAACCGTAACGACCTCTGAGGCATAACAAAGTGGGTATAAGGGTGGCGCAGCGAGGATAAAGGTTGTGGGGGTTGCGAAGGGATGTCCGCCCCTGAACAGCGT